ATGGATTTGGTTGGTTGTTTTACACTCAATGAATTTGAAGAGTGTTTCACACTGAAAAATAGCTGTATTGGAAATCTATCTATGTACAAAGGTGGGCAGGGATGTTGTATATACTGTTTTATGTTATATAAATGCCCTGAACTTTCCTGTGGTGCTAGGTCTTCATTAAGTTAAATGGAATTAGAACGTTCCCAAGTTTGGAGGCTGCTTTCATTAGAGTGTTAGAGAAGGTTGTCCTATTGAACACTCTTCCGAGTTTATTTTCCTTCCGTGAACTCTGCAGCTGCATCTGTTACTGTTGTCTATCGCAAACTGGACTCGGAGCAGATGAGGGTGACGGAGGCCAGAGTCCCAGTGACCGCGGGAGCTTTGGAGCAGCCGAGCAGCCCGGGGGGCGGCGGCAGGAGCCGGGGCGGCCAGCAGGGGGCGCGCGAGGGAGCCGCTGAGCACCATGGGCAGGGGCGCTGTGATTGGTCCGCGCGGGTCACCTGACCTGCGTCTCCGCAGGCGGTGCTCGCAGCGCCTCGTCCCCCGGGCAGCGCCGGCGCCGCGGGCCGGGAGCGACGGTCTCAGGTCAGTGTGGCCGTAGGCAATTTTTATCCTCTAAACCCAGGAGACCATTGCTGGTCACGTTCCCGAGAGGCAGAAGCGGTGTTCGTCGCCTACCTGGGGCTCTCATTCTGCTTGCAGAGGTGTAAATCTGGAATGTATGGAGCAAACCCCCCTTTGGCCCGAACTCCAGCGGCACGTGCCGTAGGCCCGTTTCCCGGTGTTCGCTGGTTGTCCCGAGCAAGAGATTCACAGCTAAAGAAGAACTCGCATTCATGTGTACACACTCGCACACATCCAAAGCCAACCTTTTGCCCTTAATGCAGGAAAGATAAATATGATTTATACAGCCAGCCCCACGTGTGCTCCATCTGCTGTAGTAACTACCCTAACCTCATTAATGACCTTGTTACCAGAGCCAGTGAGACAGCGATGTGCTGCTTACACAATGAAGGCTTTGTTTTTTAGTAATTCAGTTTTCATGAGATTTCTGTGACAATTGCAGAAGGCAGGGATACTGATCCATTAACAGTTTCTGGAATTTTTCATTTATAATTGTATTTTAGCAAACGTTTTTTCTGTGTGTATGTTATGTAACCATAAATCCTCTGGATGGTCTGTCCGTACACTTGAGGTGGAGAAGTAGGGCTGTACTGACATAGATATGCTTGTTTATTTGAAGAAAAAATTATACTGTAGACATATAAGACAGTCCAAACACAGCTCTGCAAACTACACTGAAAGTAGCACTTTTTTGTTGAGTGTAGAAAAGCCTTATATTTGAGATCAACAGTAGTTCACTTTTGCTAGAAAAAGGTGAGAAAGTGGAAGTGAAATGGATCATACTTAGTCAGTGGCAGATCCTGGCTATTTTGGAATGTGAATGTTAGTTTCTACCAGTTAGGTTTGCCACAGTGACAGTGTCTGAAAGGCTTGTTGATGGAAATCCTGTGTTAGATTTTCTCATCCTGCCACTCTTCTCAGCACTGCTAGGAATGACGCATCAGTCCTTCTGACCTGCCTGCAGGCCCTAGCATGTTGGTGAGGCTTTGCTGAACCTGATGACTGCAGCCATCTGTGCTGTATACTGCCTGAAAAAGATGAATGCATTTACTAATAATTCTCTTGCCTTCCCATTCGGTGTTCAGCCTATAAAGTGAGATTTGCTGCTGTTCTTGTTCTGCATATCACTATTCATACTGACTTCAGGGTATGGAAATTGCTAATAGAAATATCTCCTGGTGTAGCCTCAGCAAATTGCATCAGTTAGCTCAGCTCTGCTTGGCAACCTGCTAATACCAGGGATAATTCCTTTGCCCTAGACACTGTATTCTGATGGTACATCTGGGACAACCTGTAATGTTACATGTCAGTTATTTACTATGACCAGAAAATAACTTTTCCTGCTCAGGGTAATAGATTTGTGGTGCTTTTTGCTGGGCTTTGTAACAAAATGATGCTATTGCAGGAATAACAGCACAGCCATCACACGAGTAATGACCACCTGGAAAAAAATATATAGAAAAAATTACATTAAGAAGAAATGACTGCTGAGAATTTATTTCTGGCTAGAATAAATCTTTATTATAGTAAGTAAACAGTAGTAAAAAAAGTGTGAGAATGTTAGGTGTATTTGCATACAGATGTCAGAGTGTATGTCATGAGAAAAACTATATTTAGAGGGTTTTTCATGAAAAAGAATGATGTCTTTCTTACCTTTGTTACTCCTCTAATGTAGAGCAAAGCTCAGCTGTGGATTTGTATGGTGAAGTATGGTACTGATTTAAAGGTGTGCTATGCTGGCTGTATGAGCTGTTACATAAATGTGCTCTTCTCCCCCCTCAAGTGCCAAAGCATTCAGCTTGGGGAAAAACAGCTCTGCTGTCTGTACCAAGAGTTGTTGCAACTTTGCTGTATGAACAGGAATGTGTGTGACTAGATAGCAAAGCTGACACATCTTCTGTGTGCTGACAGGGCTGGCATTTTCAGGACCAACATTTATGACAATTCTCTGTTACCTCCAATGTCTTTCTCTAATTAGCTGCCTCTCTGTCCTGCTGA